ACGCCCAAAAGAAGGAAAAAGCCAGGTCTGTCGGGCCGGTTGGGTTCCAAGAATTTGAGCCGAAAACTCGGTTCATCAATAATAAATTAATCGAGGCTCGATACAAACGTTCGATAATTAAATAAAATGAGATATTAATATATATATATATATAATACACCTAACATTATTTATTAATAATACACATTAGACATATAAAAATTAGTTAGGCAATTTAGACAAGTAGTGACAATTAAATACATAATAAAATAATATTAATATAAATAGGCAAATTATTAATGGCAAATAACCAATAATAATTCCAAAAAAAATTTTATTCGAACTAGGTATTACAGTCTATCCACCTTACAAAGAATTCTATCCTCGGAATTCGAAAATAAACATCCAGAAAATACTAGAACGCAAAGGGAATATCAACACATGAGATTTGGTATTCCCTCTGATTCTCGGTCTCTCTCTTCCAAGTCGTCTCGCACTTGACTCGACTACCCCCACTGGACTTTAACAAATACCCCTTCCCGGTCTTTCCTTGATGGACCCTTGGTCCCAACAAGTCACCGTGACCTCCATACAGGTAGGGTTCTGCCTAACACGTAGCTCGTCAAAACACACATACCTTGAGGTCACGTACACGTTCCTCTATCATGAGACATATAACGTGTCATGCATCCTCGAATTTCCCAGTGGTGCAGTCAATCATCAGGCTAAGTCATCGACTTGGTCGAGGATCATAATAAACCTGGCCGCAACCTCTTTTCTTACCACAAAGCTCCTCTTTTCGCGTGGTCATAACAATGCAATTGAGTACAACGACTCTTATCATCCAAAGTTGCCTCACTTCGTTAGTTCTCCAAAAAAGACTTAGGTCAATGCAATACACGTACAAATTTCCCGGAATCGATACATATTTACACGCTAGAGACTTGACAGATGTGACATGAATGGTTGGCCATGCATGCGGCAACGCGGCACGCTACATGCAACACACTACACACGACACTTCCTACAACTTGAGATGCATCACCGAGCGTGGCACGCCTGCTGCACCAACACGTAGTACACCTGCACTGCCCGCATCCAGTAGCTACAGTTCATTTCTCATCAGCTGTTACATCTCCCCATTTTGATACGTAAACGAAGATCGAAAATTCCCTAGTGTTTTGCGACCCTAATCCAAACTACAAAATCCAAGCACTCCGACTTTGCTGTCAGGGTACATGTATTTCATCATTAGTCAATTAGCTTGTTATCCACGATGTTTCCTCATACCTCCTCAGATACCCACCTTAAAGACTTCTTCTTATCCATAGCATTTATAAAATTTTGTTGAAACTCTTCTCGATCAGGTAGGCGGAGACTTCCACGTACGACTCTCCAGCACGACGCTTACTTCATTCACAAAAAGGGTGATTGGTTTACGCCTATCTCTAGGCCCAAGTATTCTCAAGAGTTGCAACATTATTTGCTCTCCTGAACCCTTCACATCGACTTAAGGATATCATGAAACAGAAATCCTATTTTTACAAGATCACAACATGATCAACAGAAAATTAAGACTTTAACCCCGTCAGAAATCTCATACTACTCGAGGAAAGAAAAGACAAGAGAAATTTCCAAATAAGAAAACTGAATAACCAATAGAAGTCTCAAAGCGAAATACAAAATAACCAATAAGAGTTTCAAACGAAATTCGAACTTGTCGGGTGAACAAAAGGAAATAAACAAGGTCTACCAAAAGTACGAGAAATGCAATTTTAACAAAAAGGAGAGAACAAATAATCATCTAAATTCTAACATTTCATCGACTGCTCAGCCTTGGTTCTACTCGGCTTCAAACTGGGCCACCGTGTATAGCCGTACTCGACCTCCTTTGCCAAACTTTGGTTGGGCCTGCTGATGCTGATGCTGCTGCTAAGGCGGCGGCGAGGGAAGCTGCTTATTGGGTTGTTGCTGCTGGAATGGTTGTTGTCCCTGTAGCTCAGGGCACATGCTACGGAAATGTCATGGGCGATGACAGTTGAAGCAGACCTTCTAATTGTGCCAGCATTCCCCTAGGTGGTGACGGCCGCATTTAAAGCACCTCAGATTCTAGCCTAGTTGGTGGGGCACCCATCACGTCGGTCGTTCCCGCCACGCTTCCCCTCCTGGTTGTCCCGGTGGGAATTGGCCTTCCTCTTGCCCGAACTGGAGCCGAGCGCAATAGCTGTAACTGGTGGAACCATCTAAGTTTGCTGATAGGATGGGATAGCCGCCTTCTAGGCATTCTGGCATACTTCTAACTCAGTGGCTCGGTGGACCATCTCGGAGTAAGGAAAAACTCCATGGCCAGTCAGGGTATAGAAAAGGTCGGGGCGAAGACCATCACAGAAACGAAAGGCCTTCTTATGATTGGTATCGATAAGAATCGGGGCAAACGCGCACATACGAGTGAATTCGCGCTCGTAGACATCCACAGGACGGGGTCCTTGTTTAAGCTCCCAGAAGTCCTTCATTATCTGGGCACGGTAAGCATACGGGTAATACTTGTCCTTGACTATAGCAACCATCTAGTCCCAAGTCAAGGCATCCCTCTCAGCACGAGAACGAAGCCTCCAATTGTCGGTCCACCAAGTCCTAGCATCTCCGGTCATCATGAACGAAGCACAACGAATTTTCACCTCATCAGTAGTGAATAGCATATCGAAGATACTCTCTAGGTGCTGAAGCCAGTCAGCCACAGCTTCGGGGCCCTCAATCCCAGTGAACGCCGGTGGATGCATGTTACGGAAATCTAGCACGGACTGGTTTATGGGGTCTCTACCCTGGGCGTGCTGCTGAGGAGGACGTGGATGCAGGGGAGGTGGTTGCTGCTGATACTGCTGGCCGCTTTGGGTTTGGCGAGCCATAATTCTATATTGATAATGGGCCAAAAGATTTAGCACAACAATCAGAAAGTCTAGAGTTCAACACTAGAGTTCCGAATTTAAAACATAGGTGGATAACTCCTAAACCCCGATTTCACATCAATAATCAATAATCAATAATCAGCAATGCACAGTAATCTCAAAATTATTCAGGTACTCATAGCTGAGCTGGCGCGGCATGACGAGAGCGAATGGTCATAACACGAGGTCAAGCATATATTCACATAATATTTTCATACTTAGACCAATTTACAGAAACACAGACTGACTCTGATACCAAACTGTAACGCCTAAAAAAATTCAGAATAAATTTTTTAAAATTTATTTCAAAACACTTGGCGACGCTACTAATTGAAAAACCATTTTCCAACAATATCATAAATGCAACTCCCAAAGAGGGGTTCAATAATCAGAATCACACCCAGACCTGGTTCATCAAACGTCAACTCCCAAAACTGGGTTTCATCCAATTCATAAATACTAGGGAGTACTCTCGCTATCAATAATCTAGTTCTCAACATAAATCAGAAGTTCATAAATAATACTAAGTAGTTCAAAGCAGTGGAAATAAAAACAGTAATATCACCACTACTCGCCTCCCTCTGTCGTGCCATCAAACACTAACTTGCATCCATGAATAGCAGGTGGGGATGAGAAGAAAAAGAAACAATAGTGCTCACCGCTATGCAATAAATGTTAATGAAAATAATCAACAATAATCAATAATCGAAAGGAATGGTCTCAACATGTATACGAAGCAATAATCTACCCATCTCCCATCAATAATCAATAATAAAACTCATGTGCACACCTATATCAATAAACTACTGCTGACTATATATCGAATGCCCCCAGGACTTACATCGAGTGCCAGCTAGTAGGAGTTACCCCCGTCGGCCGAGCACCGCCCTGACTCACAACAGGGAACCGACCGAACACCGCCCTAGTCTCATACTTTTTACCGAGCACCGCCCTAGTCTCATGCCTCAACCGAGCACAACCCTGGTCTCACAAGCGCATAGGAGAGATTACCCCAACGGGGTACGTTCTATAACTACGGGGATAACCGTTCGACGGCCGGTACAACTCACATCGAAGGTTACATTATTCACATGCATACTTGATCATACTACAATTTAAACTGTAATAACATTTAAGGCATAACAATTTTTCAAATTAAAACTCACCTGGTGTCGGATGATAAAGCAATTTAACTAGAAAGTCGTAGGTGGTTGAGACACTGCTCGTCAGACACCTATATAAGTCAAGACAGTTCCATAAGCAACTATCTCGAACCTATACAGATAACGAGAATTATACTTAGTCGAATCGCATCGACTAAGAAACTCGTGGAAGTTGTGGAGTTGAAACATTATAACGACTCCTAGACTTGATCAACCAATTAATAAATCATATAAAAGCATGCAATGAAGGTTTGACACGAAAACAGGGTCAACAGGTCACGGATTTGCCAACAAGGCCAACCGGTGCAAAAAACGTGTTAAATGAACTAGTCCTTAATTATAAAAATGGAAACATAAGGAGTTAGGTTTGGACTTTTCAATTCAATTTTTTACCGCATATAAAACACTGGAAATTACACCTTTTCACCAAAGGATAACCCCTAAGCATGCTCCTAACCAATTTAAATAATTTAAACAATATCTGACCAGAAATCGAATTAAATTATTTCAAATAACTACAGTCCGAATTTAAGTTTCAAATTTTTACAGCAGCAACATATCATGAAGAACAACAACATATCCAAACATTAGCCACTGTTGACAAGAACTCGATTTTATATGAATTTATTACGAAACAGCCCAAAAATGGTTTTCGGGTTTTGACGAAGCTACAGACCATATAAAAATCCCAAATTTTAACTACAAGTAATATAACAACTGTAATATCCCGTTATGTTAATTATATAAATCATGTATTTAGTTCCGATATAATAATATTGTCGAGTATTATTTTTCGAAATTAATTATTTTCAGTCGAGATTACCCGAAATTATTTTTGACGTCCCGTTTACGTTCGGAATAATTTTGGATATTAAGTATCATGTTTAGTAATTAATTAAGTATATAGATTATATTTAATTAATTATTAATCATGTTTAATTAGTTAATTGCCGTGAGTATTAAAGGATAATTTTCCCCATTTCATTTCCCAAGCCGTACACATTTTATTAGTAATGAGGGAGATTTTCCTTAAATACTAAGCATGAGGTGGCTAACTTTTGGAGCTAAGATGATGACTAATGCTTTTGAGAAATGAGTTAGCACTCTTAAGCCTCCCTTAGCTTACAAGTGGCGCAAGAATATTGAGCCACAAATCCTCATCTCTTCATGCCATGTTCGGCCGTGTATATAAGGGTTAGGATGGGGAGAAAATTTCCCTTCATCACCCTAATTATACACTATGTATAGAGAGTAAGAGAGTTTACTTTAATTGTGAGAACCTACCGCAAGTACTGCACGCAAGAGGCGCACGCACGCCCGAGAGTACCGCGAGCAAGCATAGCATACGCACAAGAGTTCAAGAAGAGTTGTTAGCACTTGAACTTCATAGGAGGTAATCTCCTTGTTGATATGAGCTAATAGTAGAATGTTCATTTTCAATTCAATTTAGGTTTAAGTTCATGATTTGTTCACTTATTGTCCTCGGCCGTGCGTGTGGCCATATCGAGTATGTTCATGTTTTATTCAAAAGATCTCGAGCAAGTATCATGTATTTAGTCATTTTATGCAATATCATGTTTATTCAGCTTGTTTTGTTCGAAGGATTTTCATGTTTTTTTGGTAATTCAGCCAAAGAGCGTGGTCGCGCACGTAGCGCGCACCACGGGCCGTGCGTGATTTGCAATCATGTTAAGAAGTAGACCTTTGAGCACTTCATGTCAAATTATTCAGTAATCAATACTTCATGTTCAGTTGTGTATTAATTGCCGAGAGAAAAGCATGTTTGGACGTGAGACGGCTTAACGCCGTAGGCGGCGCACGGTGCGCACGCCACGGCCGTGTTTAGCTTCATGTGCAAAAATTCTGGATTTTGAGTATTTTCAGTAAAATTGATCATTTCAAATCATTTCATGTTGTTTTAAGTCGAATTGGTCGAGAGGTGTTGCCGGACGACTGGCAAGGGCCGGTC